TTGGGATGTCCACCACCGGCGGCGATGTTGGCGAAAGCTTGTTGGCGAGCAAGTTAAAACACCTAGACGTCATGTTAAAGCAAGATCCGTCGAATGAACAATAACATCTATGCAATATATACCTCCCAACTTCCAACTTATGCATCTCGTCGAAATATTTCAGGGGCTCTTATATCAACTCAATAAAGAGGATGCTGAAACTGCCACTCTTCTCAATCCTCTCTTCCAACCGGTTCTGATTCGACTGGATTCGAATTTTTACTGTCCTGTGAACCCCGACATTGATATCGCATCCTGGCTTTTTTCTTATACTTCTAATTTTTTTTTCCGCGGGGGGTAATAGAAAGGCAGGGAGGAAACGGCGTTTTAAATCACATAATTAACTGAACCGCAAATACATTAAGAGGGCCTAATATACATCCTCATTCAAAATGCTCTCACTGCTCTCTCGCGGTTCAGTTTTACTTGACGTACTTTCGTTTATATTTTCTTCATGTGTTTCATGAAGTCTCCACTCACTTGGATATTTTTGTAACTACTTTCAAACATAGATATGCATGATTTTTATCATCATTTTGATTTCATAATTGATGCTCAATCAATCCTTTTTACTAAACTCATTATACCTCTACTATTCTTGTTCCTATTAAAAAACATTTGAAGATTATGACTAACTAATAATAAATCAAGAACGAATGACTAGATATAATTTGCACTGTTTCTCCTATCTCTTCAAAAAATAATACTCAAACAGGTATGTTGGAAGTGTATTTTAAAATGTATTAAAAAGGAGCCAGCAGATAATTGCCAAACAGGTAGATAACACAGTGGAAAAATCCAGGGATTAGAGCTCGCACACTCGAAAGTTTGTTATGTGCATATATAAAAGACTAAGTAGATAGGTCTAGAATTGTTAGTGCAACTTGACGTAAAGGAATATATGAATGCAAAAGCAAGATAATAAAGTCGACTGATATATATGTTGCTGCTCACGAATATTTTAGTTGTTCCTCCGCCTGGCAAATTGTCAGAGGGTAGGGAGGATAGAAAAGTATCTTTCTACGTAAATTGCACGATAGATCCGGAAGAGCAGGAAAAGTTCATTGCGATTGACAAATGGATCAGTTGGAGAAGAAAATACAACAACCAACAGAATGTATAAATGTATAGGCATTAGTTAATCAAACCATAATGGAGAAAATACCTGTCCATTTTCTCGCCAGTCCCTGCAGTTTCAAACCGACTGATAAGAACTTCATCCAGAATGTTCAACAATTTCACTCACGGCAACTCCATCCTTGATGAAGGTTCGAATTTGCTCGGGCACAGGCAATTCCTTGGAATCGTCGTCCATTCCCTCCTTAGGCGGCACCACGATATTCACATTGGAGCACTTGCTGGTGAATATCTCAGTTGTCAAACTTTCCTCGCTTAGGTATATAGTCGCGCCATCTACCTGGTCGAGCAGGATAGTTGGCACAACGCCGTCAATCTGCAGCGCAAATTTGGGGGCCTTGACAACGTCAATGCTACTGACAAGAGAGTCAACGATGACGGAGAGGCCGGTACAGTTATCGATGGATATGGCGTTTGCTTTGCCGTTGACTTTAACGATTGCTTTGTTGCAGTGGGATATTAAGATTGAGTGTGAGAGTTGGGCGGGAATCTCGATGATATCGGCAGGGCTGTCTTGGTGTTCGATGTACCATTTGCTACCATCGAGCTGTTTGCGAGCGGGCTTTTTAGCGCGCATACTTTCAGGTTTTGGCTTCTTGCTTGGAACTGGAGATTTGCCACGAGAAGTGGGAGATGTCACGCTACCCATTGAGTTACTGCGTTCTGGGACAAGCGAGCCAGCCCGAAGGCTAGGATTTTTATGTGTCATTTCCGACTTGTCAACCTTCCGGAGACTGGAGGTGATAGCGGATCCTTGATTTAATTGATTGAAAACAGCAGACATATCGCCACCTGAGGATTTCTTTGGAGGCAGGGCTTCGCCCGCGGGCGGAGGGGGTGGAGGTGGTGGTGGTGGGGGGGCACCTGCACCGGCGGGAGGAGGCGGGGGAGGAGGCGGTGGCGAGGCTCCCATTGGTGATCCAGAATGGACCTGTTTTAAAGCCTCCATTACGTCGACTCCATCTCGATTGTTCCAGGTCAAGCCTGTGGGGTAGTGATTTTTAATGTAGCTAACAAGGGATTTAAAGATCTGATAATATGCTTGAAGGTAGGCGACATGGGTGTCATCCCTTTAGAACGTTAGAATTTTTTACACCGAGAGGGCGTGCGGGAATACATATGCCCACTCACTTTCCCTTGTACTGGGTAAGCACTCTGTTTCCATAGAATTCGGCACCCGCTATGCTTTCCCGCACAAATTCTGCTGGTCTGGGTTCAAGAAACCAACCCAAAGCCATGACTCCTTCCGCTACTGCGCTCAAGTGATTGAAGAGAGGGGATTGCCGGTTTGATTCTCGTATGTTGTTGATTTCGGTAGAGGCATTGCGCAAGTCTGTCAGTAGATCTTGAGGCTGCTGCTCTGGTTTCTTGGCTTTTAAAGTGACGTAGATATATGTCCTTTCAGCTTCGAAGGCTTGAAGGACGGTTTTAGCCTATATTTTCCCATTAGTATTATGAAGCTGACAATGCGTGTATCGTCCAATTATACCTGTGCTTCCACTGGTTCTCCTATCTTTTTACTGAGCTCGATAAAGTTCTTCACTTCCTTGTCGATCAGCGCATCGAAGTCTTCGATCTGGCCAGGTGGCGGTTTAACGACAGTGGGGGGAGGAATAGAAGGAGAGGCATTGTTTGGAGATGCTATAGAGATTTTTGTTATGGAACCGTCAGCAGCAGGACTGCTTGGATTTGAGCTCTCGAGCGAGGATGCCATATCCTCGAGACGGGAGGTGGCAGCCTCAAGCCTGTCACCGGAGGCTGTCAGTAAGTGCTCTCAGGAACAATATCAAAATCCATGTGCATTGACAAAATAATCCATCAATAGATCGTCTTACCGCTTGATGAGAGTGGTAAAACTGTTCATGTGGTTGGTAGTCATGGTTCGTGCTCTGCCAGCTGCCTGATGTTAACCTAGGTTGAGGTGGGTGGGAGATGGGCGCGGAGTGTGACTTTCCCAACGAAATATGGGTTAAATAATGGATTATGCTGAAGGCGTAAATGAAATTGCTAAGTGAGGGAAAAATACAGCTGCCTAAACGTGGGATATCGAGCGTTACCTGGAGCAACTTGTCGTTGGGTGGAGAAGGGTAGAGCGGGAAGACGAAGCTGAGACGGTCGACAGGAGAAGTTGATCGAAGTTGATATTGGACGTTGCGGCGTTAAAGTTGAAGCTCCGAACTGGGCGGTGGCAGTACTTTAGCAACACACCCAACCAGATAATTGTGATTCCTCTGTATTGCTAAATACCCCCGCCCCTAGATACAGCAGTAGTTTTAGAGTACGTACGCCGCAACACTGAGATGAGATGGATTAATTTAGATGTCAGATATATATATACGCTTTCATAATTAGACCTGTGCAGAAATATGGCTGCTAATGATGTCGGTCCTCCTTGGCAATATCAATTTTTGCACGTTGGGAATGTTCATTATCGGTGAGTCATCTTCTCTCCCCGCAAAGCAAGTGTAGATATTGTCCTGTATGTATAGATTTCCTGACACCTAGAATGCAGACGAGATAGAATTTGAAGCTCCTAAACCATCAGTGAAAAACATTATTGGAGGCGCTGGTTCTTATGCAGCTGTTGGGGCGCGAATGGTAGCAGGCAAGGAGCATTCCCGGGTCGTTAGCTGGATCGTCGATACCGGCTCCGATTTTCCTGACGAAATACGCCGCATCATCACATCTTGGGATTCTGCCTGTGTGCTGAGAGAGTCTGCTGAAAGGCTAACTACCAGGGCATGGAACGGTTACGGCCCGAATGAGAAAAGGGGTAGGTGAATGGATATAGCCTTATAATCTTCTTTCAGTGGACAATTCATAGTTGACTGACTACTGCTCCTCTACGCAAACATGAAAAGATTTCCGATATCTCACTCCCAAACTTCCCCTGGATCATAACTCCCTCTCGGAATATCAAGTATTCTCGAAGTCGTTCCACCTGGTATGCTCTCCTGCGCGCTGCTGTCAGATTGTCGAAGGAATCCTCCAGAGAAGGGACATACTCCTAAAAAGCAAGAAAATCAACCCTTCAACTGTGGGACAACGTCCAGTTTTTGTGTGGGAACCAGTGCCTGATTTGTGCCGCGAAGAAGAGCTTCCAATGTTCTATAAGGCTTTGAAACACGTAGACGTGGTTAGCCCAAATGACCTCGAATTGGCAAATATGTTTGGTAATACAACATGGAATGAAGAAAAGAGCAGTGATCGAGCTATAGCTTCCACCATCATCGAATCTGGAATTGGACAAGACGGGAATGGACTGCTGGTGGTGAGAGCTGGAAAAGGCGGTTCCTATGCGTTTTCCAAAAATCTCTCCTTGCATATCCCGGCGTATAATGGGGTGAAGGTGGTAGATCCAACAGGCGCGGGAAACGCCTTTCTTGGAGCCCTGGCTCAAGGACTCGTCGTCAGCATTGACCGACCGCCCATCAGAGTCGTCACCTCCACTCTAGAGAAATCCGAAAAGTGGACCAGAATCTCTGATTCCTGGGGAGGACATGGGCGGATTCCAGCTGCTCTGATTTGTGCCACTGTGGCGGCTAGTTTTGTGATTGAACAAGTAGGGGTGCCTCAAATATCCTGTACCGACCTGGGGGAGGAGCTGTGGAATGGTGAAAGCTATACGGAGCGGGTTCGCCTGTACACGTTGCAGTTTGCGAGAAACCTTGTAAAAGCCTCAGAAATGCAAAAGTGAAATTTGATTGTTCGATCGATATAAAGTAGTGTGTGTATCTAAATCCACTGATTCAACTCCAGAAGAAGGAACATATGTATATAATGCACAGAGATGTCCACCCCAATAAACTTCCTCGTCACCTTCATCATGACTTGTTTCCCGTGGCCAATTTCTTTTCGTGTTCCACAAGTTGTTTGCTCCACCTGCAGTTTTCCACAGTCAGCAACTACCAATTGGTTTAATATATCTGCGGGAGACAACGGGAGGAACCCACCACCGACTCGGAAAGAATCTGCCTTGTTCTGGAAAATTGGTCCGGAATTCTCTTTCTGAGGAAACTTTAAAGGCCATAGCAGTAATACCAAACATGACTACGCCGACTATCGCGGTATTGGTTTTCCAGTTTGCCGGTTGTGAGTACCAGCCACCAGCCGGCGACCAGACATGCTTGGGATAGCTAACAAAACGGGAGAGTCAGAGAATGACCAATTGAGCGGGAATGGTGCGGTATATTCAGCAGTAACTCAGCCAATGGCTTACCGAACTTTGGGGCCACCTCCCATCTTGAGCAATCGACTCAAATATGGAGTTGAGCAGGATATTGCAACGGCGACTGACAACTGAGGAGACGTTTGGGTGTCTGGTGTAGAATAATAATAACGGAGGTTCATCTCGGATGGGCGCTAGGAGACAAAACCAGGTTAGCGTGATGTGTGGCACATCACATGACCTTGACTGATCCAAGTTCCCCAAGAAATTTTTGAAGTCTGTGATAATGAGCAGCATCAAATTCACACTCCAGCGTGCGTGCGTACCCTTCAATTGTGACGTTCTACACCACTGCCGGAACTCGAGATCAGCCGCCGGAGTGGGAGCCCAAATGAAGAGACTGCAGCTTCTCCGATGGAGCGGTTCAGTACTTTCACCGCGGATACGGCCTACCACCAGGTGGGTGTCTCCGGCTCCGCATCAGCTTTTTTTCACAGCTATACGACAACAGTCTTCCGCATCATCTAGTGTGTTAACGGAAGAAACTGAGCCCTACGATGATGAGCATTCTTCAAATATCCATATAACCCGAACACCAACACCTCCCTCACCACCTGTCGAGGCTGCTTTGAACTCCCCTAAACTCGCTGCCCTACATGCTCGACTCTCTCTACCACGACGATTACCTCTTCAAACACTGGCCCGCACCCTTGTTGATGAGTCTGTCGATCCCTCACCGCAATTCAACAATAAATCACTGTCGATACTAGGTGGTGACCTCCTGACATACTACACCTCCGAACATTTGATAAGCACCTATCCACGACTCCCAATTAAAGTTCTCTGGGCTGCAATGTATTCATACATTGGAGCAAAACCGCTAGCAGCCATGACTAGGGAATGGGGTCTTGAATGTGTAGCTGATCCTGGGGCCGAAGTCGACCCGGGTTTCCTACAATTTAAGCGGCTTCCACCCGACACAGAAGTCAAAACCAACGCAAACGGCACGTTCCTCAGACCTAATGGTAATTTATCGAAACGCAGTACGAGCGCAAGGATTATATATGGCGACGCTTTTGGCGAATCTGCACTTCCATACCCCGTTCAATATGAAGGCGTCACACCCAACCGAGCATGTGCGAACTTCGTCCGTGCCGTCATGGGCGCTGTCTACCTACACGCTGGTCGACCAGCCGCGAAACAGTTTTTTAAAGAACACTTCATGAGTCGGTATCTTAACATGGCGTCATTATTTAGTTTCCGGCAACCAACGCGGGATCTCAGCAAGCTTTGCCGTCGGGAAGGGTTTGAAGATCCCGTTGCGAAAATCCTTAGCGAGACAGGTCGTTTGAGCAACCGTCCCGTTTTCAACGTGGGTATTTTCTCCGGGCCGGACAAGCTTGGCGAGGGAGCCGGAGGAAGTTTGAGTGAAGCGCGTTTTAGAGCAGCAGCAGCAGCGCTCAAGGGGTGGTATCTATATAGCCCCCTTGGGATTAGAGTCCCCAGCTCGATGGAAGAGGAAGGTGCAGAGCCATGGAAACCAGTATATGTTGATCCTGGTGAAGTCATTGTGTAAAGAAAAAACAATATTTTGAAGGCTCAAACTGTGGGAAAGCCGAGGCAGCAGATTACAGTGGAAATTATTTTGGGTTTCTTTGTTCAAAGGAAATATCAAAGCGGGATCACATAACACAAATGAAAATCTGCTCCCCATACCGTTCTTTTTTCCGCTCTGCCTTATTTATCTCACCAACCTCATGTGCATGTCTGCCGATTTCTTCCTGTATTTTCTATCATATATACTTTCCTATGTTCTTCATTTCACTTTTGTCTATGTACAACATTGGGGAATGCGTTGTTTCATTATGTCTGGTTGAAACTTTCGACCACTCTCGTTCTTCTGACTGATTTCTATCCCCATCATTCCCTATTTCTCAACGTTATCGATCTTGATTGCGGCGCATAAAACATGCATCAGCCATGGAACAGTGTAACTTGCTGATGAAAATGCCGAGAATCTGGAGTATAAAAATGTTAACCGCCTTATGCTGACCCACCCATCACTTCCCAATTACCCCTACACACACCACCTGTCTCATTCCACATATCAGATCTCATCTTGATAGGGAATTTTTTAGGCGAAACGTTATATCCATTTCTATTATGGCGCAGCATGGTATGGCTGTTCCTTTCCCCAGTGATGTTACCGCAAATTTATCCCTTTTTTAAGGAAAGATATAGACTCTGCTCATTTGGTTGGATGGATGGACCAATATAGTACGGTAGATATACAGAAACGTCAGACAGGTTTTGAATTTAGTACAAAGTGGAAGGACATACAAAAACCCAAGTGTTTTCCAGGAGAGAATAAGTTCCGCCTGTCGTGATAATCATCCTTCAACTACTGTCTTAATTCATCTTCGAAGAATCCAAATACTCTCCATATTCCTCCCAGAGCTCCAGCACCTCCGCTCCAAAAAGCCCGTGCCAGAATCCCAACTTAGCCGGCTTCTTGCCATCCATCATCACTCGCTGCCCCTCCCCTTCTTCCCCCTTCTCGTCATTCTCGTCTGCGTTCAGATCCGACTCACCCACATACCCGGTCCTCAACATCCTATCATTCAGCATCCCCACCGCGCCCTTCCCCACCTTTACATCCTCAATCCATTCCAGAAAGAATGCAGTGCTCTGATATCCCTGATGCCACGAGCTACCGCGCTCAGCCTTGTTCATCGGCCGCTTCCAATGAGGAGGAACGAGGCCTGCCTTCAAACGTACGAAGTCCGCAATACCTTCAATTAGGCCGGATGGGGGAGATGATATTTCCGGTGCAGGCTTTCCCTTCTGTTTCTTCTCATTTTTCGGGTAGGAACGAGGGCGACTGTGCTGATAGCAATGCACTAGCTCGTGGGTGATTACGCCTAAGAGTTCGCTGGTCGGGTCTTCAAATGTCTTGCTGACTTTGGAGATGTAGGAGAGAGAGATGTGGATCTCTTTGTGGTCTGGATCTAGGTCTGTGCCTGTTGTGTAAGCTACGCCAGATTTATCGCGGAGTATAAGGGTGACGGAGCGGGTGCCTGGGAGGGATGGTTTGAAGTGGGGACGTGTGGATTGAGCATAGTCGGTCCCAGTTTGGTCATTTTTCGGGGGAGATGTGTACAGGTACGTTACAATGTTGGCTAGAGCTGTATTGATTGCGGCATTTGGGTCTGCGATTAAGTTTATGAAGGTCTTAGTTGCTGGGTCGGTAAGGTCTTGGAGGTGCAGGCGAACTTTAGGTGATGGGTGAGCTGCGGTGTGCAGGGATGCCGCAATGGCGCAGACATCGCTGGTTTTACTTTCAGTATTCTCCGCGTCCCTTGTTCGGCAGCGCGGGATTGGAGATTCCTCTGGGGTTAATAGAATTGGAGAGCTAGATGATGTGGACATGGTTTTCGAAGCGTTTTTATTTATGAGAGGATGTCAATGGCTACGTACGAAAATTGTCAGCATATGAAAGTTGGCATGTTTTATATAGAGATTGATTGTGCATGTGGGTGGCTCAGCCGCCGCATCTAATCCTCATGACATGAATTCATGCACTTAAATACTACATATGTCCACCTCTGACTTACTAGATTGATTTTTAAACAATGATCTATACAAGAATGGCCTCAGAAGACAGCAGACATGAACATATGACAATGGCAGTGAATATTAGTTACGCAAAGTCTCCTGGGGATTAAAACTAGCACTTTGAATGCTTGGAAAGGTAAAAAAGTCTGTTGTTCAACCATGGATCAGCACACTAGAATAGTGATTTGTTTACCTTTTGACAGATAGATTTTTCAATCAACATCTGATAATAATTAAAGTATGTCTACAGTAACTAACTATCCTTGTAACCAATTAGTTATTAATTAACAGATGCACTGACATGATAACTGGTTAATTAGATAGTTAAGCTCTGAGAAAGCTGCTGACCAATCTTCCGCCACCCAGATCGGGCTAGCGCTGTGCTGCTGCCAAGCCAACCATATTTTGGGCAGCGAAACAATCAAATTACCCTTTTCGGCCATTGCCTGGCTTCCGAACTGAGGCTCTTCTTCCCCGTCGCAACCTCATGCCTTCATCCCAAGTCCCTTGCCGACCCCCATCGCTGCATTTCCATCCCGCCTATATACCGTGCGCTATATGTCATAACACATCTGCTACTTCAAATCCAGGTATACCCCGCCTTCTTCTACATCGGTTATCTAACCCCCCCATCCTCCCCCTTTTCAGAGTCGCGCAGATATCTCCATTGGTCTGTTGCTACTACTTGATTGAATCTTCGCCTCCTCACTACGCTTCACAATTTTGCATGCTTCTTTACCCCACGCCCCCTTCATCTTTCTTCCAAGTGCTAATCGTGAGCTGTCTTAGCATAATCTGTCAGAACTGACGCCACATTCTTGATCCTCTTTCGAATTCCCACGTTCCCAGGTACCTTCGGCTGCTCATATATCCACCCTCACTCGGCTATCCAATTTACCGTTCGAATCTATCTACAAGGAGGTGGAAAACTGTATTTTCAGTGATCCTGCGCATAGGCCATCTATCGTTGGTCAAGATATCACAGCAGCCACATCCCAGGATATCCCATTACCAATGAGCTTTGTGATCGAACAATCTTGACAATGGAAGCTAGAGCCACTGAGGTTCTAGCAGCGTTTAAAAACAGCAATCTCTCCGTCGAGACGAAGGCACAACATCTCACGAAGCTCAAGTCGGAAATAAAGCAGAAAAATGTGCCGGAGGTCGCCGTATCCACAATATTCGAGGCATTCCGTCTTGCGATTGCCTCACCACATTCCTTGCTTTCCACAGCGGGATTTTCTGCCTTAGGTCATCTGCTCAAACGACTTTATCTCCAGGAATTACATCAGACCATTGCCTCTCAAGGACGGTCCACATATCCGTTGCTGCTTGAGCGGCTAGGCGATCACAAAGAACGCGTCCGTTCACAGGCCTCTCAGGCATTCAGTGACTTTTGGCAGGCTTCTCCTGTTGAGGTTGAACATCATGTCTTGGAACTTGCGTTGGCGGGGAAGAATCCACGGGCAAAAGAAACTAGTATGACGTGGTTGGCGACTGTGAGTTTATTACCAGATTATCAACTATCATCCAAACCTGGCTTGACTATCCCATTTGTTTGCTAATA